AGACTCCAAAAAATAATCGTAAAAATATCATACTTTCGTACTGAATATCGAGAAAACACTTCATACAGTGATATTGGACCTATAAAGAGTATTTTTAGGAAGTTTCAGCTGAATCCAAGTCTGAGCGATTTTCGTCGTAGTAGCACTTTAAAGTTATTAAAATAAAATTCTAATATTTTTTTTTAAATACAGAAACATTTGCAGATCAGATTACCGACCTTGTGATAATGTGTAGTCAAGCGTTGGTTTATTCATAGTAGTCCCTATAAGTTTGTCGCTTAACCACCTACCCTCAGCCATTCCCTACAGGCAGACAGTAGGTTCAACGAGAAGCTTCCCTGATAAAACGCTGCTCTTGAATGGGCCAAAACCTTAGTTGTCATTGTTCACACATCATGTAAACTTAAAGCAACAATTTGTTTATTGCTAAGTATTTTGATGATAAGGATCTAAAGGAGAAAAAAACGAGTAAATTTTACACTGTGAAAAGATGACGCTAGTCCTTCGTTGGAGCAGAAGAGAAAGAGGTGGTAGAAAGGAGTATTTACATACCTAGAACAAGACAAAAGAAACCAATGGTTTCATTTCATTCACTGCTTAATTTTATTAAATCTTGGGTTAATGGGAGAGCACTTGCTTATGGCCCATAATTTTCAAAATTTTATCTCATGCTCTCCAAACATCCGCTTGTCTATAAATCACATGGTAAGCGTTTCTTAATGCTTAATTTGCAGCTAAACCAACACCAACCACAAGGGCAAATGTAACAACACCAACTTCAACAACCAATCAGACCAGTACAATGGAACCTACAAATGGAACCACAGTCGCTCCAACAACATCACAGAACCACACCTCCACTCCTCTACCAAGTAACCACACCACTCCTCTACCAAGTAACCACACCACTCCTCAACCAGGAAACTACACCACTCCTCAACCGGGAAACTACACCACTCCTCAACCAGGAAACTATACAACTGCTTCTCCAAGCAACTACACCACAGCAACGCCAACGAAACCTGGACCGACTGGACATAGCAAAGGTAAGAATATGAATATGATATTCTTGGTATCAATCAGTTGAATGAATCTTATTACCAAAATAAGATTATAGGCAAACACTACCCATCATGTGTTATCAATCAGAGAGCATTCTATTGCTTGATATCAGTCAGACTTCAAATAAATCTCATTACCAGACTACAATGACAAGCAAAAACTGCCCATCATATGCTATCAACCAGAGATTATTCTATTGCTTGGTATCAGTCAGTCGAACAAATCTCATTACCAGACTAGAATGACAAGCCAACACTGCCCATCATATGCTATAAACCAGAGAGTATTCTATTGCTTAGTATCAATAAGTTTGATTAAGATTAATATTATCAGGGTGGTACTGACAAGGAGGGTTAGCAGCACATTTTACAGTTTAATAATCTAAATGTCTAAAATTGACACGTCACATATAATTTAGGGGCACACTATAATCAATCAGGAATTTTACAAATTTTACATTTTAAGAGGAGAATGACGCATCTAAGTAAACCTGAATTAACACATCACACTTTACATTTTACTAATTCCACATATCACACATTCATCTTAGCTTGAATCACACATCACACATAGCCCCTGTAATACCCTGTATTATTAACAGCCTACAATGACAACTAAACATTCAGGGAAGCACTGGTTTCATGCACTGCTAATGTGCCATCCCTCACCAATATGATCACACCAAGGTTCAAGCCCTGCCAGGCTTGGTGTCATAAATGTGAGTTGACTCGTCGTTGGTTTTCTCCTGTGCTTCAAGGCTTTTCCTTCGGGTTGTCTGGTTTTCCTCCCTCCACATAAATCAACTAATTTCGAAATTCTGTTGAATTTCTAATTGATTTGTAAGCTGCCTTATCAATAGGGTTGCAAAACCTGTTAGGCATTAAGCCATCCACCCATCCAGGAGTGATGTGCTATAAACCAGAGATTATTCTATTGCTTGGTGTCAATCATTTAAATGAATCTCATTACCAGACTACAATGTCAGGCAAACACTGCCCGTCATGTGCTGTCATCAACCAGAGAGCATTCTTACTATTGGTATCAATCACCTGTTTGATCCATAATTATGACTTACTGCCCTTCATGTGCTATCAACCAAACAGTATTTTTTTCATCTCGCACCATTGAAAATGCACCTAGACTGCAATGCCTGATGGAAAGGAACTATGCAATTTTGCCAAATATACACTACTTTTCTTTCTTCTTATTGGTTGTATTTCCAAGGGGATGAAATATAAGATTAACACTAATTGATATTATTTTTTTTAGACTGTCACACCTGCAAAGATGAACTCCATGCAGAAAGGCGCTACAAATGGGTTGCAGTAGCCTTTGATATCATTTTTGCTCTTGCCTTCATCATCATGTTGATTTTATACCTGCGGCAGAGGAAAATGTACCGAGAAATGGAGGGAGATGGGTCTTTGTCCCGGCTCATTTGATGGCTTTGAGACCTGGAGTATTGTTGACTGTTTTCACATTAGCCACACATTCTGCACTGCATGATGATGTGGCTAAAGAAATGTGTCCATAGCATAGCATGTTAGGTGAATACTTTGTGTAAGTTAGAGCTGAATGTTAAAGAAGACGTAGTTCATTCACTTGTAAACAGTTTTACATGAAATATTGACTTTTAGTATCCACAAGTTTAAAATGTTTGAACTATTTAAAAATTTCATTGTTTTACAAAAAGCCTTATGATAGCTAAAAACCAAGCTAAATTTATAACCCAGGTATCTACAAACCTTGGGAATTGACCTAAGATAGCTCTTATGAAATACTTGTGAGAGTAAACAAATCTAGCAGATGATTTTTATTTGGTTGTACGTATAATGTGGGGGAATAATACGGGGGAAATAATTTTAACGAACTATACGGGAGGCACAGATCTTGACAGCAGTATTTAATGAATTGGAAAAAGATCCCCTCTACCCTCACCACTAGTTCCAAAAATTTTCTCAGAGATCAGCCTATCCAAATACTACCAATGCATAAATTTTGTGGTAAAAACATATTCTGAACCAAAGATTGTTATTGTCGTTATTTGGGTTAATTCAGTTAATTTTATTTGAGCAAAAATGTATGATTTATAAGATCTACGAGATAACCTTTACCCTTTGTAGCAATTTTATCGTAAAATAAACTGAAAACACACGCACCAATACTCTATTCTTTGTTGCTTCAAAAATAGCTCTCAGCTGGTAAACAAAAATAAAATAATAATAATATTTAAAAAAAAAACAGTTGGAAACCTACACTTTAGCATTCATGGCAAATTTTCTGCATAATTGGGATATTTGTAGCCTGCTATGTGTTGGCCTCCTAATACAGATTTTGTGGGGGGCTATCACGCAATGCTTCACTCGGCAGAACCCACGTTGATCTTCTTGATAAATTGATGTTAATTTTACTATGAAGTAATGCTCTAATTTCGTTGACAAGCAGAAGATAAAGGGTTTTTACCGATTGAAAGAGCAACACAATATTTGTTGTCTCTGTCTGTCTGCCTGATAATATACCTCTGTACCTCTGTCTGTCTGTCTCTGTCCGTCACCCTGTTTGGGAATTTTGAATTCTGCGTTAATTCGTGTTATGTTAAAAAGCACATATGCAAGAAAAATGCTAAACTATTTCTGTAAAATATTGAGAAGAATTCTTCATTTCTTTTAAAAATACAACTTTTTTATTCCATTCTTATAATTGAATTTTAAATATCCGACTTGTATGATCTTGTCAAGGTTGTTATTCCACGAAAAACACGTGGCGAGTGTGACGCATTTAATACGCCCACTGTCTGGTTCCGCATTCATGATTTAATTTGCTTTCCCCGGAGGGGAGGGTTAACGAGATATTTTAACCAAACACTAGATAATACCACTTTTTGAAGATATAAATTAGAAGAATACATACTTAACATTAAGATAATATAATCCTCTTTATTTAAATTTAATAGCTGCAGAAATACTTTTCTGTGAGTGAAAAATTTAAATTTAAAATATCGGCGACACCCCTCCCACCAGGGGGAATTACTGTAAAGTCCGTCACACGTGACTGGTCGTTGCACCACAAAATGTAAAACTTCAGCAGATTTGATCATTGATTCAAAGATATAGTAGTTGGAAGGTGTTGTGTAGGCGAATGTTCCCGGGAAAACTCGATTAGAACTCTAGTAAAACGACTGATAGAGCCAACAAGACACTGAATTCGACTCGCGGTCTCTCGATCATGAGGGAAGAGGATTACGACCTCGAACCGTCGCCATTTAGGTAAGTAAAATTCACTTTCAAGTTCCGTCAGCACGGGACTTCATGCGAACTCTTGTCTCCAAGTCTCGTGACTTCAAAAATGCACTCTATAAACCTTGATTAAGGGATTGCAGAACCGTTTGCAACAAAAATATCCTCAATTCAGTTATATATATGAAAATATAAATCTCAAGGATTCATACAAAAGCGAGTTATAAATGCTAGAACTGATTCAGTGTTACAGGATATTACATCACTCGTACTTTACGTGTACTAGCTAAATATATAAGATGTCGTTGCATCCCGCAGAATCTCTGATTTAACCAACCACAACCGTGCTTCAATTAGGAAGCCATAAAATCAATTTAAAATTTATTTCCGTATATTTTTTTCTGCTAAAAATACTTTTCCTGATTCGGAAATAGATTTTTTGGGAGGATGAAACGAAGTCAAATCACATGCAAGAACGTCAACCTAACGTTGGACTTTAACATTATCAGACATGATACTCAAGAGGCAGTGCTGTAAAATTAAGCTCAACTCATTTTACCTTGATTTCAGCGATCCTCAAACTATTATGAAGAGGAATATGTCACTGCAGTGGGCTCTACAAGACGCTATGCAGTCTGCACGAGGACGTGGAGAGTTCGCTAGCGGTGTTCACTCTGCAGCGGAGCAGCTAGATCAGTAAGTTTTTATTAACATAAGCTACGTTACTAGTAGTCTAAACAAAACTAAAACCAAGAATTTTATTTCATTTGTAGCTCGAAAAACTTTCAATTTCATGTTTAGTGAATTTGGGTGTTTATGTGAATTTCAAACTATTTACAGTTCATTGTTTTTCCAAGTGTTATATTTTTCATTTTTTTCCTAAAAACTTGACATGACCAATCGAATGGAAAAAATTGTTAGTTAACATTCATTTTTCGCTTTAATCCATCATTTTCCCCCCCAGAATTTACAATGCTAAACTTCAGAAATATCTTGGATTCTTTATTTATTGTTTACTACATTTAGTTTATATTTAATTGAATTCTTTATTTTTTTAAATAGAAATCCAGACGATGTTGTTCTCTGCATTCTGGTGGATAATAAAAGAGCAGATCCTGGTATTCAGGTTCATTGTCGACTAATAGAAGCGTTTTGCTGGGAATTCCCTATTCCAGTTATCAAGGTACGAAAAATTTATATTTGTGTCTTACAGAAGTGGAAAAAATTTATGCTATCCTTCAGAAACAAATATGCTAGAATAAGCTTCATAAACTTAGAACAAAATATTGGATTACTTCAGTGGCTTCTTATAAAGACTTAAAAAGTTTATGTATTTAAATGGGTTTTGCAGTTAAATGGGTTGTGCAGTTAAATAGGTTGTGCAGTTAAATGGGTTGTGCAGTTACTTGGGTTGTGCACTCAACGAGTTGCACACTTAAATGGGTTGCTGGATTTTCTAATAATTTTTCCTGATATTTCAGGTGGATAGCAGCATAAGACTGATGTTCCTAGCAGGTTATAGCTGGAACCACCCTGATACCATCCATTGTGTTCTCATCAAGGTAAATGTCAAGTTCAATGCCACAACATTTAAACTATTACCCAACTATGAATGAATAAATGAACATGAAAACTGAATAAATGAATGATTAATTCAAGCATGCTTAACTCTTTATTCTACTTGTAGGGTAAAGACAGCAGTGGACCCTTGATGGAAAAGCTTTTGAGATTTAGTCAACAAGTACCAGCACCACTATTAAAGCTGGCATAAATCCATCTAAGAACTTTACGAATGGACTGCTGGAGTGTGTGGATCGTACAAAAGCAGCTGCACAAGTTGACCTTGGCTTGATGATGCAATGCCATAAGCATTCTAAAATCCAATTCCTTGCCTTGAAGTGTTAATACTTCTTGATTATTGAAAATGGCAGCACTTAGTAACTTATATTTATTTAAGAAAACATTCACTGACATGCTTAAAGTGCAAATGAACCCTTCGACAATACTTTCAGTACT